CCAGAGGAGTCGCCCCCTGGTGGACACTAGAGAGAATGCAGCTTGAAGACACTTCCGCATCGGCTTCACTCGCCAGAACCGAAGGTTGCCGTCGGCCAAAAACAAGCACTTTTAGTGGACGTACATCGACGTTGCCAAATTGCCTCCACATCATTACATTGCAGTCCATGAGCGGCTGCTGTCTGCAGCACTTAATGCACAAAAACATGATAAAATATGTTGAAAAAAAATACCCTTTAATACGTCTACTCGATATATTTGACAGCAATATAGCTATGCAGCATGTAAAGCTAGCTGTGATGGTTAAGGTTAGAGAGTGAAGGTCCTCACAAGTATAGTTTGTTAAAAAAAGTGTTGCATGTTTCCAGACGGACAGGGTGACTCAGTCCAGCCCCCGCAGGTTGACAATGTACAGACAGAAGCAGAACACAGACATCTAAATAGAGACAGACCATCATAATATACAAGCTGCATCACTACACACACACACACACACACACACACACACACACACACCACCACCACCACCACCCGTCCATCTGTAAGTGTTAAACACTCTGCCTCCACTAAAAAAAAACATGCACAAAGTCAGAGACTCACAAGTTGGCAGAGCAGTGAATCTGGGCTCCTGCCACCAATGTGACTTATGAAGGAGGAACAGAGCCAACGTTTATTATTCATAACTGTGTGTTTGTTTAAAGCACCTGCCTTCCCTTCGTTTCTTCCCCGCCCAGCAGGGGGCGCTGCAGCAATAACAGGGGGCGACACATTTGTTTGGTACCGATTGCTGCAGAAAAGGATCTGCCGTCTGCTGTCATTTTTAGCAGCGGTCGGTCGCCGCAGCACCGCAATCACCCACCATGAAATGTGACACCGCAGATTGAATTATTATCTGTCCGGGTTTGTTTCTGCTTCTATGCTTTGTTGTACTAGCCTACGACTGCACCTGCATCCTGACACAATTATAGAGTTTTAAATTGAGCGTAATGCTTTTGGATGATGTATTTTTCTTAAATGCAAACATTTTTGATGCATTGACCTCTCAGGTTTTAAACGTTAGCTGACTCTATTGTGTCAGCTGTGTCTTCTTTTAACATCAGGATTGGATTCTATTCCTCCCCTCGTCCCCTCTCTCTCTCTCTCTCTCTCTCTCTCTCTCTCTCTCTGTTTTTCTTCTTGGATGTGCACACTCTCTATTGTACATTAGTGTGTATACATGCATTGACTCTATTACACTGTACGTGTGTGTCTGTGTGTTACCTGATTGGCTGGGTCGGGTCGGTCCGACGAGCTCTCTGTTCAGGTAACAGCTGCTCCCACTTAAAATGGAGACTCCAATCAAAACCTGAGAGAGAAAAAGTATAACAAATATACATTATAGTGTACACAGTACGGTAACGAGGCTTTATTAAAATAGATACATGACGTATGAGGAGGGAGGCAGCAGTGAAATACTGAGACGGACTGGAATTACCATAGATTAGCATCAGTTTTGGACTCAGGGACGACGTATCAGCTTCTGCATTTAGTTTTTTCAAAACTAACTTCCGTGTACAGAGGTAACATACAGTAACAACAACAAAGGACAACAAAAGTACTTTCTTAGGCTCGGGAATAGATCATGGTTTGGGTTAAAATAAGTACGTTTGTGACAGAACTGCTGTTAGTTTAGTACATAAACGACACAACAAACCTACGGTAGAATAAGTCAACGTTGACTCTTCACACGGGACCCAAACAGCGGTCTTCTGCTTCGTCCCGTGTTTAGTTTTCCCCTCCGTCCCTCTTGCCTAACGCTGACTTTCTTGCTCTTTATAATCGTCAGTTGCTCTGATACTGAACACTGAAGCGGATGAGTTTACATCGGAGTTCGTTGAAAGCCCGGCGCGTCTCATTCAGACGCCGTGGGCCAGTGACCAAGCCTCGGCATTTGACGAGTTGGGAGTGAACAGAAAAAAAGAATTGGTCTGAATCTATAAATTCTGACCAATCACTTACTGATAGCTGCGTATTTATTGTTACAATTCCAAGTTTGATTTAAGCCTTTTGGATTATATTTTACTTCCTTTGTCAACAATCCATCTGTTTCAGTGTGTGTGGACATACAAGCAGGCAAACGTGAGAGTGTGTGCGCGCGTGTGTGTGTGTGTGTGTGTGTTGGCTTGTGTTGGTGCGTGTGCGTCTTTGCTGATTAGGCAGTCCAGCAGGCCGAGGAGCTGCAGCCACAGCACTCCCCCCCATCTGTGAGTGTGCATGTGTGAATCAATGAAAGTCCATCTCATAACCATCTTTTATGTTATGAGCGACAGCTTCATCTATAATTAAAATGTCCTTCGTGAGCCGAACTTTGACCATCGATTTCGACGTCCCATCGGTGTGTGTGTGTGTGTGATAAAGACAGAGAGCGAGAGCCGCGGACAGCGCTATTATCGGCATTGATTGGCGGATCGCTGTTACCAAGAGAGGAAGATTGGAATAAGACAGGCTAATGGAAAGAGAGAGGGACTATGAAGCACTCAGGGGGAGATTGGCTTCAGAGAAAAGTGAGGGTTGACAGACGAGCAGGCGAACACAGATGTGTATTGTTCTGATGCATTATCAGGCCGTTTGGTTTCAGCTCATCCGTAACTGTGGAATCTTGTCGAGGCTAAAAAGGGAAGAAAGGTCCTCGGATCGTCTGCTCTGCGTCATCAATCTGCGAAGGCAGTTACTGATTCATCCACACAATCTGCTTCCTCCACTTTCACTGCTATTAGCAATTATTTGGTTTCAAGCTTTCAACACTGCATTTCAGCAATGCACAGATAATTATCTTTGAACCAACACTCCGGCATGAAAGAGGTCTGAAAGAGCTCTCTCATCCGGGCAATGCATTCTGGAATACCGAGGCTTGGTCAGTGGCCCTAAGCTTCAAACTAGTTTAACATGGGACAGAATCAATGTTCTCCTAGTTGAGAGTCCTGTGTATTGCACACTATATACTACATCAGTGTGAATCCAGTTGTAATATACAAAGATTGATTCAAAGAAAGTACTGCTCAGTGAAATCCAACTTGAGGGTCATTGCTAGAAGCAAATACTTCAAAAGTGCTCCTGTTTGAGGTTCACGGCAGAGAGAACAGGCTCCTGAACTCATCATGAAGGGCTCCCTCATAAGTCAGAAGGCCTCAGGTGTTTCTCTCTCTCTCTCATCATCTCTCCCCTGAAGCTGCCCCGGAGCCATTTTTTACTTCTCAAGAGTGTAGACGGACGAAAAGTTTTTCTATATACCTCCACGGAGATCAGCGGAGGCCGCCACATAGGCAAAAGTGTCCATGTTGATGATGTCGATGACCGGGCTGACCACGCAGGTTGGGTCCTGGACACAAAAAAACAGACATTCATGGGTTACACAAATATACAAATAACAAAGAATAAAATAGCACAGAGTGGCAGGAAGAGAGAAACGCTAGAGACAAACCGAGAAGGTGAATGTGTTCCTGTGTGCAGACCGTGGAATTCATTTTCCAGGCCGATGTGTGTGTGTGAGTGTGTGTGAAACAGACTGTATATATTCCAAGGTTCTTTTTAATATCGCACCACATTAAAAGGAATTTCAGTCATTCAGCACCAATCATGCCCGCAGCACATTTAGCAAGGTGAGAGTAACCTCTACCTCACATTCAGTTCCACTCTACTGGCATTCATGTCAGACTGTTGGGCCATATGAAAATAAGAAACGTTGAAAAGTCTTTCAAGTGAAAGGAGACTTCATCAGGAGGGAGCAGAACAAAGTAAATAACGCGCTGAATACAGAGCGAATGAACGTAAGCACACAAGGACGTCGGCAAATTGGCTTTTGGTGTTATTAGTGTTGGGGATGTGAAGGATAAGGAGACGAGATCTGAGCTGATATCTCAAGGGCATTGAATCCCTGACCTCTGAAACAACAGCAGGGTCCTTCAGAGCTTCTGCTGTGAACTTGGAATTAGATTTACTGGAAAAAAACGGCGGCACCGAAACGTTGAGGATTCTTTCGAGTCCTGACTTCCCTTCCTTTGGTTCGTCACGCCGGCAAAAACAAACAAACAGCCTTGATTACCGATCGACTACCAGAGGTTCATTCAACGTGGATAACTGATTACAGGCGTTGCTGACCTTGTTGTCTATGGGAGCAGCTTTTGTGCAGTTAAATTCAGCATTTTACAATTCTACTGCAGCCGACATGAGGCAGAAGTAAGCTGTTACTGGAGCGGTTAGCGAGCACATGTCCAGCGGACGTATGAGGTCACGTTTTGCGGCTTTGAGGAGGACGATGGACACAAAACGGAGGACTTTTCTGAGACCTGCAGTGTTGTAATTAAGCTTTAAAAATAAAACTATTTAACTTTTGTATGCATGCATTAGTATCTGAATAAATACCTGTTTACCAGATCAGACCAGGGTTGTAGATAAAGAGGCTGGTTTGTTCAGTGTATGTGGATAAGAGCACATTTAAGTAGATTACAAAAGTAAAGCTCAACATTTGTGGCTGGGGGATATAACTATACTCTTGTTTCCTAAAACTCAAGTTCACACTTTTATAATGACTTATCACACACATCACACAAAATGTATGCAAGTGAAAAATATCAAATATTGACACCTATCACTGCCTATATCCCTCCTTACTGTTAGATGATCCATACGGTGATACGCCTCTTATGGATCTAGCTCAGTTAGCTCTTCCTCAACCATTAAATAGAGTCCTAAACTCTAAACTATAGAGATTTCTGCATTTTATTTCCCTCATATTTCCACCTTCTCGGCACCATTTGGTCTTTACAAGGATAAAAGTACAGCACACACACACACACACACACACACACACACGCACACGCACACGCACACGCACACACACACACAAGCATGGCAGACTTGAGGTCCCCGTTAAATCATGGAGTGTCCATCTATTAGTTTGGTCAAACGGCTGGATGCGTCTTCAGCCGGTGGTATCATGGAGCAGGTGGAGCGGTTCTGGCCCATTAGCTGCAGGGTCAGTGCAAGGGGAGGCGGGCTGCATCCCTCTCCAGCTCCGGCCACATTACAAAGCACTGCATCTGCTCTAATAGCTGTTACGTTAATGACACCGTGCAGCACTCGGGGTGAAGCGTTCGCGACATCACTGTTGTAATTGGATGAGTGTTATTTTCAAATCGCTCGGGAGCAGTTTCTTAATTTCAGCCATTCCTTCACGAGAACATTTGATGAAAACTGATCCCTCAGAACTTCCTGCGTCATCATCCTTCATGCATATATCCTGCGGTGGCGCTGGATTACAGAGTTCTTTACTGAATATAATCCACGATAGAATACATGATAATCCAGCAGGTACAAACTTCAACTTCCATGTCCAAAATGCTGCATAAGAACATCAGTAGAAATGCATTCAAGCTGCACTTTTAGATGTTACGGTGTTATTTAAACTGCTCTTAGTTTGTCTTTAATGTTCTTTAAGTATTTTCAATTAAAGAGCAGTTGAGCGAGACAGATTAGTGTCTTTTGTTGTCGTTAGTCTGCAACGCATCAACCCAGTCGCCTATTTTTGTCAAGAGTGTCCTTGTCAGCAACAAAGTGTTCAACCCAGCGGCTGAGAAATCAAATGCTGGCATTGTACGTTTCTGCAAACCACAGGTGCATCGAATGTCAACGCCAAGAGGAGTAAACAAACAACGTCCCTCCACAAACCTCAGTTACAATCATCAACACTTTATATTAAAACGTCAGAGCAAAGAAAACACAGATAATGAACAGGTTAAAGCAGCCCATTGAATTAATACTTAACAGAAATCAGCAGAAGATCATGGAAAATAAAGGTGTGAATCTATATGAGAACATCTGCTGACTATAAATCCCTCCTGTGAACATGAAATGAACATCTGTACCGCATGGTAGCAGACAGAAATGTGGTTCAGAATATAAACAATAAAGTGTTACGAATGAAAAAAGAAAATCTTTATGTGAAAACAAAAGTTAGGGGCGGGACTTTAGCTCTATATCAATGAGACAGACGATTCATTTAAGGAGGATATAACTGCATGGTGGTGTGGAGTTCTGCAGAGTGTGTGTGTGTGTGTGTGTGTGTGTTTACCTGGATCAATAGCTCATACATTTAAATCTAAATATATGACTATAAAGTGACTGTTCAGACAATGACGGATGACTCTGCAGCACAAACACACACACACACACACACACACACACACTTAAACCGTGAGCATAAATATGGATGATGTTGGTACAGCAGCAGAATGTGATCTGTGGTTTACTTATTGATCGCTGCTATACAGATGGAGATCAAAGGTCTTTAATATCAGCAGGAACAACTGTTGACGTGATGGAGGAGGAGACAGATGAGAAAATGAAGGTTTGAAGAGAGGAGGGGAGAGGAGTCAAATAAGGGGATTACTGTATGTCTTTTTGTCTTTGTTTCAAACTTGCTTTGGCGATAAATAACATTTGTTTCTTAGGCCAGTGAAGCCCGTTTGAAGTGAATTGATAAAGGAGAAGAGATGGTGGGAGGAGGTGTAAAGATAAAGGGAGAGAGGTAGAGTAAGGAGAGATGGAGGAAGATTAGGAGTCAAAAAGGATGGGAGAAAGGAGCAGAAGAAGTTGGAGAGAGGTCAAAAGAGGTGATAAAGGAGAAGAGATGGTGGGAGGAGGTGTAAAGAGAGGACAGAAAGGAAGGAGGAGATATGGGTATAGAGAAAAGAAGAGAGGAAGTGTGAGGAGAGAGGGAGGTTAAAAGGAAACAATGCAATGTGAGAAGAGAAGAAAAGGAGAGAGGAGGTGACATGTGAGGTGAGACTGTTGAGAGGAGGAGATAAAGAAAGGAGGATAAGTGGTAGAAAAGAGAGAACAGTAGTAATAAAGAAGGAGATAGGAGGAGGGAAAGGCTTGTAAGAGAAGAGATGAGGAGAGGAGGAGTAAAGAGCAGGTTAGAGGACATGAGAGGGGAGGTGGGGACAGGAGGAAAGAGAAAAGAGCAGAAGAGGTCCAAAGAGAGAGGTCTAATAAGATGATAAAGGAGAAGAGAGAGTGAGAGGAGGAGTAAAGAGCAAAGGACAAGTGAAGGAAGGAGGAGAAATGGGTAGAGAAAAGAAGAGAGAAAGTGTGAGGAGAGAGGGAGGAAGATGAGGAGACAAGGGGAGGTTAAAAGGACAAAGAAGGCAATGGGAGAAGAGGAGAATGAAATGAGGAAATACGAAAAAAGGAGAGAACAGCAGTCGGAGAACAGATGGAAGTGAAAGGAGGTGGGAGGGAGGAAATGGGAAGAGAAAAGAGGAGAAGAGGATGAAAGAGAGAGGTCAAAAAAGGTGGTAAAAGGGAAGAAAGGGAGGTGAGAGGGGGTGTAAAGAGAGATAGAAATGTATGCGGAGGAAAACGGGGATGGAGAGTGTAAAGACAGCAGAAAACAGGTGAGGAAAAGAGGAGATGGGGGGAGAAAAGAGGAGAAGAGGTGTTAGGGTATAGGGAAGAAAAGACCAGGCAGAAGGGACAAGTGGGAGGAGAAAAAGCGACAAAGGGAGTAAGAGAAAAGACAATAATGTGACAGAAAATGTCTTGAAGAGATGAGTGTTGAGAGGGGAGGAGGAGTCAAATAAAGTGAAGGAGGTGAGAGAAGAAGAAGAAGAAGAGGTGAAAGTAGAAGGCAGAGAAAGGGGAGAAGAAGAAAAGGAGAGGAGGTGTCTAAAAAGCTAAATGAAATGTTAAGAGAGAAATGATGAGGAAAATGAAGTGAGGTGGTGAGAGGGCAAGAGAAAATAAGAGGGGGAGATAAAAAGAGGTGGTAGAGAAGAAGAAGAAGAAAAGAGTGAGATGAAGGGCAAAAAAGAGGGCGAGAAGAGAGGGGAGGTAAGGACAGACAAAACAGGAGGCAAGGTGAGAAAAGGGAGGATGACAAGTTGTAAAAATACGTGACATGAAGGGAGAAGAGGAGGTGAGAAAACAAGGTGACAGGAGAGGAGATGAGGAGGAGGAGAGGAAGAGGAGGGACACAAACAGAGAGAGAGAGCGGCGGGATGAAGAAGAGAGTGCAGCACTTATTTCTTAATGAGAGGCAATCAGACCGACAGCTATTTTCTCCCATGGCGCTATTTCACCTCGACCACTGGATTTATCACACACACACACACACACACACACACACACACAGAGTCATGTTTCCAACTATTTAGAGGACGTTACATTGACTTACATCCGGTTACTGGAGACTTAACCGGACCTATAGCCGCTACGTGCCTAACCCCTAACCCAAGTCTTCATCCTGTAATGACATCATGTACGTTATGTAGGACGAGCATTTCGTCCTCACAAGGTGACGATGCAGACTGTTCTCATACAGCGTTTGTAGCGAAACCGACAAAATCTATCCTTTATGTAATCCGTGTAATCATGAACAAGGAAGTATAAAGACCGCAAAAACCCAGTGGAGGTGGATGGGTCAAACCAAAACGTTCTTTACCCCGGATGAAAGCTGTTCGTTCCCCGAGTAAAATAAGAAGTCAATATTGTTTTATTTGTCACGTAACTTCCGTACTTTTTTCTCTTTCTTCTTTTCTCCTCAAGTTTTTCAGGATCTTTTCAGAAACATAAGTAACTAGTTTTGTTGCCTAAACCTAAGTAAGTATTTCACGATCTTTTACCAAACCTAACTTAGTATTTCACGAT